GCCGCAGGCTCCACGCCTGGTGGTGCCTTTCCGTCAATTTCTTTAAGTTTCAGCCTTGCGACCATACTCCCCCCAGAACCCAAAGACTTTGATTTCTCGTGAGGTGCCGAGCGAGTCAAAAAGATAACATCGCCCGATCCCTAGTCGGCATAGTTTATGGTTAAGACTACGACGGTATCTGATCGTCTTCGATCCCCTAACTTTCGTTCACTGATTAATGAAAACATCCTTGGCAAATGCTTTCGCAGTAGTTAGTCTTCAATAAATCCAAGAATTTCACCTCTGACAATTGAATACTGATGCCCCCGACTATCCCTATTAATCATTACGGCGGTCCTAGAAACCAACAAAATAGAACCACACGTCCTATTCTATTATTCCATGCTAATGTATTCGAGCATAGGCCTGCTTTGAACACTCTAATTTTTTCAAAGTAAAAGTCCTGGTTCCCCGACACACCCAGTGAAGGGCATGCGGCTCCCCAGAAGGAAAGACCCGGTCGGACCAGTGCACGCGGTGAGGCGGACCGGCCAACCAGGCCCAAGGTTCAACTACGAGCTTTTTAACTGCAACAACTTTAATATACGCTATTGGAGCTGGAATTACCGCGGCTGCTGGCACCAGACTTGCCCTCCAATTGTTCCTCGTTAAGGTATTTAAATTGTACTCATTCCAATTACAAGACTCAAAAGAGCCCTGTATCAGTATTTATTGTCACTACCTCCCCGTGTCGGGATTGGGTAATTTGCGCGCCTGCTGCCTTCCTTGGATGTAGTAGCCGTTTCTCAGGCTCCTTCTCCGGAATAGAACCCTAATTCCCCGTTACCCGTTGAAACCATGGTAGGCCACTATCCTACCATCGAAAGTTGATAGGGCAGAAATTTGAATGAACCATCGCCGGCACAAGGCCATGCGATTCGTTAAGTTATTATGAATCACCAGGGAGCCCCGAAGGGCATTGGTTTTTTATCTAATAAATACACCCCTTCCGAAGTCGAGGTTTTTAGCATGTATTAGCTCTAGAATTACCACGGTTATCCATGTAGTAAGGTACTATCAAATAAACGATAACTGATTTAATGAGCCATTCGCAGTTTCACAGTATAGTTGCTTATACTTAGACATGCATGGCTTAATCTTTGAGACAAGCATATGACTACTGGCAGAATCAACCAGGTAACTATCTTAAGGCTTCGCATCCCGAGAGATGCTAGGCCGAACCCCCTAAAAGAAGGCTAGAGTTGTTAACTTGGGTGAGAAAACGCTCTTTGCAGAACGTTTCCTAATCGCTAGGAACTAAGAAAACTTGTTTCGAAGACCTATTGATTATCCATTTGCCCCCACTATGTTCCCCAAAGGACGGTCTACCGCACAGAGTTCAGGCACTAGGTGTCATCGCAGAGTGTGATATAAGCCCCTCAGGAGGAGGATACCTTTCGCTGATCACGCCAGAAGCGGTTATCAGCTCGGGCTTACCCCCAAGTGTCTAGGAATAGGTATAGCCATCGGCCACTAATCCACAGACTCCAACAGAGCCTGCCAAGCCGAAGCTGACAGGACGTCGGCTACCCTATGCTATAATCCAAAGCCTAAGCTTTATGCGGATTACAGCGTAGAATAGTTTATCCATGCGCCTGTGATATTCTGAGGGGCGTCACAAGTTATGTGATACCACGCTTTCAAATATCAATAGGTCGCGGATACAGCAACCAAGGTACTGGGAGTTTTTGACTGTTCTGAAATCCTATATTTATTGTTCCTAATAAAGAGTTGCTACGTGCTATGCGCGCCTAGGTCACTACAGACTGACTCTTTACTAGCGAAATTATTCAATAATACAGAACCCCAAAAGGGTCTATAGAGAATTACCTTCAAGGCTATGTTGGTCTTGCAACGCTAGTTTATTCATTTAATTTTTAGAGTTGCCACGTGCTATGCGCGCCAAAGGCCTATACAGACTTGCTCCTCAATCATTTGAATCTAACCTTAATTTCAGACTTATAGGCTCGAAGACCTCTAACTGATATCACCTGTAACACTCTAAAGGCTAATACAATAGGCAATTAAACATCACCGTCCTTTCATATTAACACTATAGAGGCTTTATTTTCAGGCTTTACAGTGTGAATGAGGCAGGCATAAGTGCCTATTATGTGTTGAAGCTCTTAGAAGAGTAAGTCTAATTAAAGAATTTTACTTTTCTTTGAGGCTTCAACCCACCCCATTCATATACCCATCGACTCCTTATCTGTAGATTTTCTACACACAATTGATTTTGTCGAAAAAAATAATTTCCGACAAATCATTTTACGTGCAAAATCGCTATTGATATTTTTTTCCCTAACAAAAAGGTTCCGAAAAATCACTCAAAGTGAGTACTTGGAAATTTTCATCAACTTCGTCGTCGCTCTTGATAAATGATACAGAACCCCTATAGGCTATACCTATACACCTAATGAGGCTCACCGGGTGCATTTCGATTATATTATAGGCTTCCACCTAGCCTAAGAGAAGGTCACCGGGAGCTATCGTAGGCTCTCAATGCCTAGAAGTAAGTCTGGAAAAAAGAATGAATCTTGCCAAAAGTCGACTATGCTCGTTGAATGAGGGCTTTCAAATGCTCTAGCTCTTGCAACTCAAGGGTCACTTTATTTTCTAGGCTTCAATAAGCTCTTTTACAGGGTTTCTTGTTTTCATTGCAAAGAGAATGAAAAGGGAATCTTAGCTGTGTATAATTCGTGTAGATTATATATATTATATTAATAAAATTAAAATCTTTCGACTTTTCACATTGTCCCATACAAAAAAGATTTCCGATAAATTATAATGATCACCGGTGAGCTTTTCTCCCGGTGATCTAATGCCATAGCCTGTAGCCAGGTTGTTGACCCTAAAGTTAAGCCTATAAGAAGCTCACCGGGAGTTAAATTAGATCTCTCAAAGCTTATAAGGGCCTATTCTCTATAACTCACGAAGTCCCGGTGAGGTTACCTATATCTTAGTGGTATTAAGATCGCTCCTGACCTAATTCCCTGTAGGAGAGCCTAACCCTGACCCCTAACCAAATTATTTAGAATATATTTTAAGGCTTAGAACTAGTTATTAGGGCCTCTATAGCCTATACTCATAGGGTTTTGATATTAAAACTAATAAAGGCTCACCGGGAGCTCACTGGGAACCGTGAATATATATTAAAATAACCTCACCGGGAACTAATATTTAATTCTACGAGGGTCACCGGGAGGGTACGTGGGGTGTATGAATAGGCTTTCACTCACTGTAAGCTACTCACCGGGAGCAATTTTTCGAAAAATCCACTGTGTTTTCCCCGAAAAATCGAAAATATTCAAAGAGAGAAGAAAAAATAAGAAAAATAGGAAAAATTCCGCCCAAGCCGACGCCCTCCCCCCCGTATCGAGCCCGGGGGTCACCGGGGATGATGTTGGAAACCATGTGTTTGAAACGGTGGCGGTTTTACTCCGCTCTGCCCTTCCCCCTCCCGCGCCCCAATACCCTCATCTTCGCCCCCGCTCTCGTTCTTACTTTCCTACTGCTCATTCCTCGCGCTTCTTTTGCCCCTCACTTTCTCTTCTATCCTCTTGCTTTTTTTCTCATTGCTCAATTCTAATATAGTATATAAAAGCTCTATTCTTACCTCTAATCTTAAAGTTATACTCGATCTCTAAATAAATCTTTAGAGAAACTACGAATGGTACTACACTATACTCATAATAGTATTTCTCGATCAATACACTTTAATCAAAAGGCTTTCGTTTACTTAGCTACAGACAGGACCATCTTATTTACGTTCGTTTAGTTATAAAATAATTGGAACTTTTGAGAAAAGAACTGAATACTAAATTTTTAAGACTGCGAACTACTCATTAGAATTCTAAACCGAAATATAAATACCTTAATAGTATTAACCTCTTTCTATATTTTATAAATAATTATTGTAATACTAATTTCTGAGAATTGCAACTACTTCTCACATACTCATTGACACTATCTTTACAGAAATACCGTATACAATTGGTTATTTAGGGTTTTTTGTTTTCCGATAAATCTTCGCTTCTCATTTTGTTATGGGTCGTGTCACGGTATACTGTCACGCTGAGGTGACCAATGGAACTGAAATTTTGGTTGGTCACGGTACTTTATCACATTACCGTGACCCGGAGCACGATCCTTGAGGCTTTGTCACGGTGTTTGTCACGGTAACCTCACCGTAAGCACAATAATCAAATGAGATAATGAAGCATCTTTCGCGGTGCCTCATAGAGTCTCATAATTTCGATCAACATTATTGATATTGAATCTCTGTCTTTTAATGAATCATGGTCCATAACAAACCTCCGATACACTTATTAACAACTATCGAAGTATTTTGATTGTAGTTGTTACAGCATATTTTACTCGGTTTTACGATCGAAAAAATGAGAACGGTGATAGGTCTCTAATATGCTACAAAGATAATTTCGCTATCATTCACGACTACGCTCTCATAAATACTGTTTGAAAAAGGTCGTAAGCTGTGAATGATACATATAAAACTTCAAAGTATTTCAAGTTTATCGTTACTCTTGTCTATATAATAAATTGGCGCGAGAATGATATGGAATTCTATCTAGGTAGTAACCCAACATGCCAGCATCACTATAATTTCACTATAGATAAGCCTGCTCAATCTCTCCATTTCAACACGCTTTTCATATTCGTCTTGAAATCCCTTCGACAGGAGAGTCTAGCTGTCGTCTTTTGAGGTCTACTACCAAATGTCAAGATATGTTTCTTTCATTACTATAACTTCGTGACACTTATGAGAACTTGAGTCATTATCAATGACTTAAGTTCACACCAACCATATCGTTGAAGTTTTACCTCCCTAACATCGTCCTAAATGAGTCGATCTATCCTCCCACTACATCCCATAGATAACCAGATCTCCCTGCATTCCAATCATCGGAACTTGGTTATAATATCACTGCTTGCCGAGGATCATGCCTGCAGACCACATATTCCTCACCCTCATTGCTGTCAAATACATCCAAGGTATTTCTAATCTATGCGTTTGATACTGAGAGTGATGAGACTCGTAGACCTCGATTGTGACAGGTATAAAATCCTTTCTGCTATGACGTCTTCATCTAGGCGGCGGACCTGGGGCGACGCGAAATCTGAATACTCCAGTTAGCCGTACCTCGGATTTCCTCCGTCTGCTATCTGCGAGCATCATAGCTTTAATTTTATTTGACCACGGTTTCCCCAAGCCGAATTATGCGGGTTTGGAATTCAGAGAAAATGAGGAAATCGTTGAGGGCAAGTTATCGAAACTGGTTAGAAGAGGAACCCGTTCGTTCGGCAGATAATGTATGAATTCGTAGGACAGTATTTTATATTATTGGGTCTAGATCGAAATGGTTAACTCACTGCGAAGAATGGCAGCGCTAATAGGGGAGGGAGGGAAACATGTGTAAGCTACAAGCGTTTGTTGCTCACATATTCAGAAGCTCAGCCAGAAGCATACCATTCGAGCCTTAACTTCTTGAAGACTACTTGTCAGTGCAAGTGAGTTCTCAATGCGAATCAAATACTATTGTTCCAATCCCCGTCGCGACTTCCCCGAACCCGACCGAATCAACTGGTCGTCTAGCTGCGAGTACAGAGATGCCAATGATCATATTATATATTGAGAGTATTTAATGATCGGTAGTTACGTGCCAGGGTTTGCGAAGAAATTGTTGATGTCGCAGATAGCGGACTCTCTGTTGAAGGGTTGTGAAAAGCCAACTGCATTTGAACGCGACTTTTACACGCGCGTCAAATTGTTTCTTTGCGACGATTCGATACGGAGATTGACATGCCAAGATTGGAAAGCATTGAATCTATCGTAATAAAGGTGCCAAAATGATGCAGCAAAGATTCGGGTTTAGTTGAAAGACGACAATTAGTCTCTGTTGTGGTGGTGATGTTGGCCATGGTGGGTAGTGGTGATTGTTGCAACTGAAATGCGGGGTAATTGCCACAGTTGGAAATGCCTCCAACTCATCTTGTGAGTTATTGTACACGGAAGTCATATATTATTGTTGCGACACTGATGTATAGAATAACAAGATAGATCACGTTACATCTCGCTCCCGTATACATATTGCATACATAACATCTCCTTGAAACAAAGTGAGATGAGCCCCTGAAAGTGTAGTGTTCCCTTTTGCACGAAGAGGGTAGATAAAATGCATTATAATAGTTAGCCCTTGCATATGTCTCATTCATACATATGTGTATACCTTGAAAATTCTGTCCTATAGTCGAATACAATTAATGTCCGGAATATTGCCCATCATCAAAAAGCCAGAATTTACGCTCTGGTTGAATTCTCGCAAAGGAATGCGGTCGCTAGGTTACTGTAGACATTTTGATAAAAGGGACTTCTGCATCACTCTTCATCCATTCATAGTTGGTAAATAGCTTTTGAAATTAGGTTCAGTGATTGATGGAAAATAAAGCTTACCTGGCATGCTACGCATCCCAATATACCTAATGTTGCTGTCTTCTATCATGACCTTGCTTATAGTAAGGATGATTTCATAGTTTCTGTGAAATAAGCTGCGTAATTAAGGGTGATTTTGAAGATGATCATATGTTCATGACCAGGATTGGCTCACGGTTGTATCTGAAATTCTTTGGCAATCTACAGCTCCAATGTACAGTCTTGATATTCGCCACAATCTAAGTTTAGATTGCAAGCATCGATTAAGACCTTCTCTGATTTTGTAGGTATTGGAGGTTTTGATTCAAATCATCAATTATACACCCCGAGTTTCTCAGATACTGTAGAAGTATAAGTATAATATATCCCCTATAACATTACACTGAGCTCATGAATTCCTTGAACTGGAAAGTTTCTCGCTTAGCAATAAAATCCTAAGGACAAATATATACCAGAATATGAATGCAATGCTTGTAAGACTATTATTTGATGTAAAGGCCTCGTCTAAGCTTCCTACCCAACCGCAGGTTTTGGATCTGGGAATTTCTTCCTTTTTGATGGATTTCTAGTCAAAATAATCTCATACTGTCCAGTCCGGATACTGCCTGCTCAGCATTTGGCTGTCTCATTGACATAGTCAATCTGCAAAGATTATTCTCACATGTTTCCTCTTCTCCTTTGACCATAGCTACAAGTTTGTGTTGTCACTTACCAACAAAAAAATGCAGACCCAGGATCTTCACATGCAAACCCCAGGTGACTGACTGACTGATCTGATGATCAATAAAGTGACTTGTTAAATCGAATCAGAAATTTTATTCGGTTTGCCACTTCTTTCGAGTATACAACCTTGGCAGCAGAATACTGCTCTCAGTAAAAGTTTCTATTGAACGGGGTTTCTTTTCGTTGCAGACTCTGTCCTGCCAGGGCCAGGAAGAAGAACTTCCTTACACACCATCGCTTCTGGTGATTTCTCACGATTAGAAAAGCAAACAGATCAATCTCAAGACGATTAACAAGAAATTCAGCCAACTATCTAGGTAGGTTGATTTTAATCAGCATCAGAATTCATTTGAAATACGGAAAAAGTGTTCTTACCCTGAGCCTCACGCTGACAATTCCACCGGGGAGAAGTTCATATATAACGCCTCTCCTTCTAATGAAGATGACTTCGTGAAAATAAGCCCCTACCCTGCGGCGTCTCACAACAATTATCACCTCAAAAGAGTCTAAATGAGTATTAGGACTATTATATCATCGATTCAAAAACAAATCGCGTGGCAACGGAAACCATGGTAATGAATGCATACACAGTGTGGCGACATCAATTGGATGGGAGAACCATTCGAGATTAATAATATTTAACGTGTTTCTCATCTTTTACCATTAGTCAATTTACCCATTCATTGGTACACATTATATACATACACATCGCTGGCCATTAAAATCATAACAAATCTGTACAACACTTCCGCGGAGACATCTCATCAAGACTACGGCACTCCCTGCCTGAACCAAGTCTGGTAAATTTCTGTCCCGCACTAAAGTAAAAAGAAACCAATAGGCGTGAGTCTGTTCCCAGCGCTCTTTGATGTCGTCGCACTAGCGGCACTACCAGTCACTGTACCAGTTCCCATTCCCGCGTCACTAGTCGAACCACTTTTCGTTCCAAAAGTTCCCTCTTCATTTTGAGGAAATGCAGTTGCGGATGATGTAGAATAAGTCCCCTTAACCCCACCAGCCGAGCATTTATCCGGCACTCCTTTGGCAATAGCAGATGCAGCTCCCCAACTAGGACCAAAATTTCCCTCTCTGGCTCGTTGCATGGTGAGGAAAGAGGCATAAGACCATGTAAGATCTACTGCACTTAAAGCAGTACCATTTTCGCGAGAAAATTGTTCGGCTAGTGCTCCGTCTTCTGGTGTGTATCTTTCGGCGATCGATACAAAACCATCTGCATAATCTTGCATGGCTTTGATGATATCCTTGAATTGACTCGAATCACTTGCAAATGTACCTGTCTGTATTCCGGGGACTAAGTCTGTGAAAAATTCATGACTAATGTCGGTCACGGTAATGCTTTCTGTGCTGTTATATGTCCATAGAGCATCATAAAGCTGTTCTGCTGCAGCGTATGTGCATATATACCATGGATTTCCTCCTTGGTAAACATCCTCAGCATAACGTCCGATAGCTGCAGCTTGTCCTGTTGATGCATTTGCATTGATAGTATAGATAGAGCGGAAAGAGTCGACCAATATTTTATGGTTTGCAAGAGCGCGGTCTGAACAAGGCTGGAAAGTTGTAGAATCACATCCCACAGCTTGATCAGGGTCAAAGGTATGTATCGAAGTCAAGATTGAATTACAATCCAATCCAGAACGATCATAAGTTGTTGATTGTACTTGGATGTTTGAATCAATGCTAGTTCCATTCCAATAATCCTGTAGCATGCACAGAACCTCGGGGGCTTGCTCCTCGCAGTCGTTACATGATTCTCCGAGGGCAGTGGCGAATTTTGCTCCTTCTACCAATGCTCGATGTTGAACCGCGGTGGTGAAAAAAGATGATCCATTAATTTCTTCCCATAAATCAAAGCCGGAGAAGTTCCAATACTGAGAAACATATGCCAAGTCGTTCCGAACAATTGGCCAGATAATCTCCTTGACCGTATCATTTTGTCCCAAGGTAAGGCGATCGTTACCAAATGAAATCAAAGCTATGGCACGTAAAGCTGGTCCATCACGTTGAGGGCGTCCCCATTCACCTAAAAATGCAGTTTCGTTGGTGTAATATTTTGGTTCTGCCAAACCTGCTCCTGTCGCTAAGTCTCCAGATGGATTCTCGACGGTTTGTAGTTTTGCCTGAGCAGTAACATAATCTTCAATAAGAGTTTGGAGGCTTGAATTGCCAATATCAATAAGATATTTGAAAGTCAAAGCCGAATCACGAGTCCAAGTGTAAAAGTCTAATCGAGATTGGTGTCAGCGTTACCTACCGAGCTTACGGTGTCGGTTGACTCACAATTAGGATCAACTGTACTTGGGCTTGCAACAACAATTCCGGCACTCGCACCCTGAGCTTTGGAACCATCGGGACCGATGTTATTTAGGATACCCTGAAGGGAGATCGGACTTTGAGCCGTCAAATAATTATCAACTGTACCCGTCGTACGTGTAGATAATTTGGGATGTTCAAGGCTTTTGGCCGAAGATAAAACCCCAGCCACAAATCTATTCAAATATCAGCACATTTCAAACGTACCAGGGATGAAAGGATACGACTTACGCAGTAGTTCGTTCCCACAGCATGGTTGTAGAGCAGATAGGATATTTGGAATTTAGGTATTGTAAGCAAGTTGTGGATATCAAATTCTGAAGGATGAGGATTGATTAAAAGCGCGCAACGATTGCCCGCGTGAGCCAATAAAATTTAGGAAAGAAGTTTCGAGTCCACAATTACCACTAATGTTATTGTTAAATGTTGTGGTCGGCGATATTCGATTCAACAAGAGAAGGAGTCAAACAGAAATGAATGTATGGTGAGAGGAAGTACTTGTAATCCTCCACCACAAGACATGCAATTGAGTTTATGTGCCAAAAAGAAAGGCTAATTATTATTTATTCTCGTTGTCATTATTGAAATTATTTGAAATGAAACAAAAGCTGGTGAAATTTGTCGATCTATCCACAAATTAGTCCCATAATGTTACTCCAGATTACCAGATCGACCCCCTGATGCATGCTTTAACCTGATCATAATTAGTATTGATACAGCAATATGATCTCGGAAATTACTCTGCGACTACTCTCTTTTGAAGTCGGTAAGAAGATGTAAATCACCACTTATCTCCTCACTCTCGTCGAATTCTAGTACCGGTGAAGATTTCTGAGATCGATAGAACAAGACATATGGTAAGAAACATCAAGAAATCAATTCTTCCCTCATGTGCGAATCGTGCCACCCAAATATTCCAGGGGGGTATTGAAATCACTTAGCGAATGCTGGGGCAGTTGGAACCCGAGTACTACGCTACATATTCATTACCCGTGCTTCCAACCGAGGGAAGCCTCCACAACTTTCCCCACGGCTCGTGGCACCACTTACTTCATCGACCTCGGGAGTTTTTGTGGATAGCGGAATGTATCTGACCGGTCAAGCTCTTAAAAGCTTGAGTCAATAATCGGATTGCACTCCACGAAGTGCTAGAGAGAAGGAGCATTTATTCTTTATCTTAGCTTTTCAACCAGGTTATGCCGGTTGCCCGTGTTCTGAATCCTTCAACTATATCTCGTACTTGTCACGTCATTAAAATGTTGATGCGGTATCGCCGTTGCATAAATCATACATAAGGTTACTGTGTGGCACAGAACTTAGAATTGGTTCTGAGTAAAAAGGTACGTTTTATTTTGGTGTGGGTGGTATTCATGTCTTGCTAGTTCACATAACGTGCTATTTATAAGGTTGTAATGCAGGAGTTGACATAATCGAGTTAAATAGCCTTACTACTAAGACTGCAAGGGGCTGATAAAGATCCCAGAAAAAACCAATCGTATATGCAACTTCAATCTTAGCTTGACTTCTAATAATCAAAACTTATTTACTCGTACGTTCGTCGTAACTTCTATTCCTTCCCTCTTGTAATCTCACCAAGTGAATCCAGGAATATCCCTTTTTTCAAGCTTCATCCAAATATCATCCCAATAAAACATAGCGCCAACCAGAATACGTTTTGGGGATGGAGTTTCTTTGCTTGAGAGGCACAGTCGTGGATTGAAGGCTCGGAAAAACTGTTTATTGTTAGTAATGGCCCAGACAGGTAACTAACGCGTCAGGAGTCAGGATTACTTACCATCAAAGGAGTCTTCATCAATTCAATCATTGCAAGATCCTTACCCAAACAACTTCGAGTACCATATCCGAAAGTAGCAAGATATTTATCAAAGACTTTGCCAGCTTCTCCATTGTTTTCCAACCATCTTTCAGGTCTGAATTCATCCGCGTCTTTTCCATAGACTGCCGGATCACGATTCGCCATGTAAGCAGTGCTGGTAACTTCAGTTCCAACTGGAATGGTTTTTCCATCGATTACAAGTGGAGCATGATCAGCTTGGACGAGACGAGGGAAGATATTAGGAGCCGATGGACATAAGCGCAAGGATTCTTTGACACAAGCAACGTAGTATGGACAATTCTTGGAAACTTCTGCCGCGGCCGGGACTGGGGTGGATAAGACACCACTGTCGAAAGCGGCGTCAATCTCAGCTACCATTTTAGCGTATACTGTAGGATTGGAAAGAAGGTAGGCCATCATCGCTCCCATGGTCGTTCCGGTAGTATCGGCACCGGCTGTGAACAATAACATACATTCGGCTCGGATGTGATCTTCGGTGAGTGGTTGACCTTGGGCATCGCGAGCCTCATAGAATCTGATTTGTTAGCCTTCTCTAAGACATAAAAGAGAGGGTTGTCATACGATTGTAGCAAGTCAACTCTGCCTTTGTCTTTTCCTCCCTCGGCAAGTTCCTTTTGTCTAGCTTTCATGATTCTGTTCGTCCATCTGATTAAGAACCCCATTCCTCCCTTATCCTTTTCACTAGAGACAAGGAATCGTCCAAGCCAAGTCTTCTTGATGAACTCAACGAAAGGATACATTCTGCCAACAATACCAAAGTAAAAAAATCCTTTATGGAGTTCTTCAATCAAATCATCAACGTCAGTAGCAGTATCCACAAATCCAAAAGCTTCTCCAAATCCAACCAAGCTGATGACATCAAATGCGGCAAAGGTTGCCCACCTCGACATATCAAAAGCTTTGTTTTGTTGAGCAAACATATCATTCAATTTTCTGATCCAAGCAATGATAATGTCGTCAATGAGAGGTTCATTCTTGACCATCTTAGACATCGAGTACGGTCCGGCGATTAATCGACGGAAGTGAGCATGATGCGAATGTTGTTGCATATTGAAGACTGATTCTCCTGGACCAAGTGCACCAGTAACGTACCATTTTGTCTTAACAGCTTGACGATGGTAAATTTGAGGTAGGGAAAGAGCTGATGGGATTAAGAGTTCGGTTGGTGATATTCGAAGAATGTTTGCTATGACTGCATTAGAACTGAAGATTATATGATCGGGTCAAAAGTTGTACACACTATTTTTTTCTTTGAGTAGGCGGTCATAAGTTTCCAATTCGATACCCCTGATGTTCTGATATGTGTGCCAAAGTCTGGTTACTGATCCCCAAAAGGGACCATCAAAATCTTTGAGAGGATGGAAATATCTGTAATAGACAATCTGGTATATGAATGGCACAAGAAAGGCAATGGCAAGACCGCCAGCCAAGTTCGGGCCCGTTAAGTATTGGCCGAATCTAGACGCAGGTGTGTCTATTCCGACAATCTTCGTAGTTCCGTTTAGAGCATCCATTTTGGTTGCTACCGGAGACAATAACAAATTGAGTAGAGTATAACAGTTGAAGAATACACAACTGAATGGAGATAAAGAATCTGTGTCCCTTTTGAAGAGTTGAACATATATATATATATGCGTGTGTGTGTGTGTATGTGTGCTTACAGTCTGGGCCTTCATCAAAATGAACTCGGCTCTTTTCCGCACACTGCTGACTATGCGTTCCAATTCTTTTTCTCTTCCATGCCAACCTCATGCTAGCCGAACCAAGATCTCCGGCCTCGCCAAACCCCACTTATATCTAATATCTCACCAAAATGCCAATAATTGCTGAACAAATAAACAGTAGTTCTGACCAGAGGGGTTTGCGGAATTGTAAACTATGCTCACATCATCCAGCCTGCTTCTTCCGCGGAGGCTCTCTCGATTTTTCAACGGGTGAAATGGTAAGAACCCCCGCAATCCCGTGCTCACGACTCCTTTGGAAACTGGGGGTAAGATCTCGCAACTTGCATCTCCGGATCAGTGATTCATTAGATTTCTGGGGTCATCCTGTTATCGATACTGATTTAGAAGCACTCAAGTTTATATCGAATAAAATTGCAGAAATAGTATATGTCCATTGCCTCTCAGACAGTATGCTGGGGCAGTGCGGAAATATTTTCATGCAATTCCGTGGAGAAGAACGGTGCATCATTCCAATTTATTCTTTCTCTAATAGATTAGAAGGCCTTTGAGCCCTATAGGGCTCAAAAAGGTCGAGTTTTGAACTATAGAAATTTGAAGTTGCACATGAATGGAGTTTGCAGTCAATATTTTAACCCTCAAACCTTAAACTGGTGTAACCAACTTAATTTGCCTTGGGGTGCATTCTGCCACGAGAAAACGTGAAAATCACGACTGAACCAAACGAACGGTGCTGATACAAGCATTTTTAATCAATCCAAGACTGCAAGAAGACATGCACCTGTATCCTCAATTGGCATTGATCATCTCGTAATACCAAAATATAAGGTGACATGCTGAGATGAGATGACGAGAAATTCCATGTAATTGACTCGTCAATAGAGACTAATGCTATCGTAATCCTTCTTATCATTACTCTCCTAATAATTCACGATTTGAACAATGTCCGCGGCAGTACACTCTCACATTGATCCAGCACTGCCGGAAAACGCAATGACTCTTGAGCGTTACGAGGAAATTTCCCGTAATTCCCCCATGAAGCCATCAGTCTAATGCAATGAGCCTCGAGATGTGATCTGCAAGATATAGAACTTTCTGAATGGCAGTGGTAGGTCTCCAATCTCTTATTCCTGACGAGCTGGTTGGACACTGAGATCCTGTCGCCACACTCACGGCATCTAACTTGCAGGAATACGAAAATTGCGAACGGCCTTCATGTCAAATTTCCTGCAATGCCCAGAAGTTTCATCAAATATTGTATCACTAATTATACGATAACCAAGGAATTCGACTCACAAACATCCTATGTGTTCGTCTCAGAGTAGACTATGGTTTGCCAAAAGCTTGAGTAAGTAAACATTCTCCGCGGTCTGCATTTTCCTCTTTAGGTAGTCTGCATTAGGTATCTCCACGGCCGGAATAGATTTCCCTGTTTAATTATGTACGCGCAGGAACAAGACATTATCTCAAAAGTCTTAGTCCATGCATGTGATGGTCAAGTCAACCAAACACAAAACACCCGGATGATTTTCTGAGTGTATTTCGCTGAATGATGCCATACCATAATAAGCGTGTACCGGAGTTAGTATTATATCTCTATTTCGTTCAAAAGTACTATGTAACCGGGCCTTTCTTGATAGGTTCGCTTCATCCTGTAAGGCTATAAACCTTCAAGGTTCATATTGCCCAATTTGGCAGTTTAATAATGAAGAAAAGTGGATACGCTAAATTCCGCACCGTAGTTACGGAAAGCATTTCTGCCATGCGTCTTTAGGATTTCAGGAGAATTAAACTATGGAGACGATTCAAGCGAATTAGCCAGCCGTTTTAGGTAGCATCGGAGTGGGAACGATTTGATACTACATCGCCAAGCATGGTACATCGTAACACTCGATACAGAAGATGTCAGGATAGTGCACTATTCTCCGTAGGAATAGAATGATACTGTGATAGAATTCCATTCATGACGCCTGCTAGCCAAATTGGGTAGAAATTGACATCTTAATGGTAACTCAGTAATGGCGGAATAGGAGTATAGCCTTATGGTATCGGCAATGTGAGAGAGTATTGAGACATCCATAAATATCCCCTTATCCTCCTTCGAAGTAACACTATCCATCCATTCAACAAGCTTCCAACAATCAACATTATCTATAAAGCATTAAGACGTCAGTCATTCACATCTTCTGAACATTAAACATTCTCCTAAACCAATATTCTCGGGTTTCTCATCCCATTCATCCTACAAATCTCTTCAAGATGTCAAACTTAGATTTGATCATAGCAAATACTCATTTATCCATTCTCTATCTATTTCCTGTTGCCATCTTTGGCCTCTTTCTCAATCTTTATCGCAAAGCTATCCTCGGAAGATCAAATCATCAAAAGTCACAAGCTGGTGATGCATATGCGGCTGTGGAAAAGACCACTATTTACGAGCCTCATGCTGCCCAAAACTCACTTCGAGATCTAATTGAGATCGATGGAGCTGGAACATGGCCTCCTACAACTGTATATGGTGATGCTTGGCCAGAAGTCCTTCGACCATTCCACGACATCTATCAAGCTATGGCACCTGCTCTATCAATTGCAGAACTTAGTGGCGATGATGTCAAGAACTTTCAACGATGCTTGGACTTCCGTGTACAGATGAGAACACTTTACAATGATCAAGTCAACATGGAAGAAGTAAAGGCCCTCTTAGATGCAGCAGAAAATGATGAGAGCGTTCTATCACGGGCAGCTTGGAATGGTCTCTTCGCTTGTATTGCCTTGTCCAGACACTCTTTCCGGTGAGTACCAATATTCTTTGTCGCACAAAAAAATGAAATTCTCGCTAACATTTACAAAAGATGGGGAACAATCCCCATAGTCAAACTTGCTCAGGAAGAAAAAGTCGTCGATTTCCCTGCCTGTCTCGACCTCGCATGGCCATACCTTAAGAGACGATACGGTGTCACATCTCAAGGTGGTAATGTCGCAAGTAACTACCTCTGCAACTTTGATGATAAAGATCAAATTGTCTACCCGATCAATCCCACAATGGACGATCTCATTCAATCTGCCGAATATCACTTTGGTCATGTCTTCCCTCACATTGAAAGAGAAGCTCTCCCAATCTACCATATGGTAACTAGAGCTATTCAACAATATTCTAATGGCGACCGCGTTGGCACCCTACAATCGCTCAAAGGAATCAACAAGGAATTGCGCACACCCCTCAAGACCTATTACGAAACCATGCATGAATCCAAGATTTCGCGAAAAGTTTGGATGCATTATGCACAAGGATTTCAAGGCTGGGCTGCAGGTGATATCGACCCTGTCACCGGAGAATATACTGAATACGACGGTCTGTCAGGTAACCAACTGTTATTACCGCAGATCATGGATGCTTTCTTAGGACTTGAGAGATACTTAAACGAGGAAAATACGCAACGCTACATGCCAAACTTACAACGCAAATTCCGTGAAACAATCGCTGAGCATAGCTTCCGTAATGAGGCTAAGACAAAAGGAAATGACGAGATCGAGGAACAAATGAACAACATTGTCAAGCAAATGAGAGTTTTCAGAACAGCGCACAGAGTTAGGGTCAAGCCATACTTGAGTGTACCCGCTCCAGAGCGTATGATCATGACAGCTGGAAAGTCTGTGCTGGAGAAGGGTGATGTTCATGATTACGAGTCTGCTATTGCACCTCTGGATAAGATGTTGAAGGATAGACTATTGGCCACAAAATAGATTAGATTGTGGTATGCTTTTCTCGTTCATTCAACGCCAAGACACAACAGGGTTACTCAAGCTCCAAAGTTACCTGTTCGCCTTACTATTTTCTTTTGTTTGTCGAGGTTGGCAGGGTAGGATGGCGCTTCTTTGGGTTTTTTCTCCTTCTGGATATATGTTAGGGTTAGGGAAATAGACAAAAACATTAATGCGATGATGATTTAAACCTCGAAAATCTGATAGCGGACACAATTGATTGGTGACTCCACTTGGCAATCCTCTGGTCATGGTATTCTCAAGGTACCAGTGGCATTGCACGGAATGAGTAGGTGAGGTATATCTGGCAGTCCTATGATTGGTGACTTCTACCTACAGTCCTGTCGTGGTGCTCTTTTTGAGCAGGCTCAAGGTGACATTGTTCCAAAGAAGCATGCATAACGTTACCATGTGAAAAAGATATCTAGAAGTAGGTATCTTAGATGAGGTTGATATTGAGATACCCCACTTTCATGTGGCACGACTTTGCCGCTCCGCCACATAAAGTAAATCTAGATGTAACCTTCACCCGGGATTCCCAAGTCTTATGTAATCCGCTCCCATCCATTTTTACCATCAAATGTAACTCCGGAAATGAAAAAATCCCAAATCCTATTCTTTTTGGAAACATTCCACTCTTTTTTGCTATACGCCTTTTGATAGGATTCTTTACATGTCAAGCTCGAATTATATGAAATTAATGGTATGAATACCCGGACATACCTACTTCGCCTGTGTAGTACGGCATAATTGATTCATCGTTGTGTGGGGTTGCACGTGTCAACACAAGACACTCTTGTCATCTGTTTGTTACTTCTTGGCAATGACCTGACGGCAGGACGATCGATGCAGAGCTGAACATCATTGGCAGTCTGTTTGAATGGACTTGGCGGGCCCATATGTATGAGCTTAATATCTTACTTTCAAAATCTCGGAATACCTTCAAATGTCCTCAAATCTCAAATTAGAATATCACCGACTACAGTAATCATTGGGTTGTCTTCCCTATTGCTTTGTCTTGCGCTGACAATCAAATCTCACCGAACCACATTGGGGCTCCAAGATTTTATGTTGATTAGCATGCATCTTGGTCTCCGGAGATATTCTTATGGATGCTGATGATGTATGACTAACTTCGTGATATTCGACCACTCTGCTGTATGATTGAGTGAGCTTACTCTAATCTTTGTCTGCTGAGCTGATAAAGGATTACGCATTTCATCAATGCTATAGTCCATTGTTTTGTAACGGCATTTTGACGCGGCATTCAAGACAGGATATTAGTAAGGTATTGCTTTTCACTCAATTCCGTACATCCGGCCTCCAAATTGGGATGGATTTAGCTCATTGTTTCCAGGGTTGAGTTCGAATACAGCTTCTTATGTCAAATCTCTTCTCGTTGGCATCATATTTTCTACCCCCCTTATTCTTATCTGCAGAAATGTAACAAAAAAAGTAAAATATATGAATGATTGGCTGATATCACGACCAGAATTACAAATGTGCAACAGAAGAACTAGAGAAATCCAAGGAATTTGTAGATGCAATAAAAGGAGTAATTTCCCAAATTTAAAATAAAATGTTACTTTGATCCGTGTCAAAACAAGACAGGCTCCCTCTCGATCGAATATCAGCTTTCGGACTTTGAGTGTGTGCATTATTTGATTTTCTCGAGCTTAAACGACATTACTTCAAGTTCACTCACAACGAAATCCAATCCTGCTGCAATGTTACATACATTGAATGAGGCATGGCAATTATAAGTCACTACTCTTCAAACCAGAAATAGTATAAACTGTGGGAAAGCGAGAGTCTTGTTGTTAAGATATGTTGAGCTTGTCGAAGATAGCACATTAGGTGATGAAGTGGGATGAAGTGATTTGGAGGATATGATAATATTGTTGTTGATGGAGATTGATGTAGGGTATGATCTCCTCCTTTTATATATTTGTGCTTGACACTCATCAGAGATGGATGCTAATGCATTCCATCCCATTAACTTGAGCTTTTCTGATTTTACATACTGGCTAACTCTATAACACTGAGTCTTTCAAGCGTATTTTTAGATTTGGGGTTTCTCTGCCGTCTACACCAAATTCGCATGGATAAGAGACACTTTACCTATTCAACATTTATTGTTTCGTTGAGATACAACTGCAACCTCCATCAAGTAGGTCACACACCTGAATTTTGCCGTGTATGGGAAATGACATAGCATGAAAGAGAGTAGTAAGCACCAACTTCACTATAGAGGCCTATGTTAGAGATTCTTTTTACACATACAAAAGATATTTGAGGCAAAATGTTGTATTGATGATTAAATTCACGCGAAGTGAGGTTGCGCCCGGGTGTTACTCTGCTCGAGGTTTGAGGTGTGATATAAAACATTCTTAAATGCCAATATCTGCTGTTGATTAATTTTCCTAATTGAACTTGATAGCGACATCTGTGAATGTCCAACCAAATGTATGACTTGAGGATGTATCATCTTTAGGTGCCTGGCTAAGTAAATGGTCACTCGTCAAGACCTTGGCTTGAACCACATAATACTTCCCAAACAGCTATTGGTAACTGGTGTGACACTTCTCGAAGAAAAAGAAACAGACTAGTGAGACTTCCATCGGATTAAATACCTAAATTATCCGGATTCTCGTGGATGTGGCAGGATTGCCCGAAGTCAATCATGATGAATTGGAATAAGCCCACGTCACACAGCATCATCCGGCAATCCTTAATTCTCCAAGACGTTGTACTAAAGACTTTTTATCCGTAGCTGATTTCAGGTCTACCGACACAGTAAATATAAAGATTTAGTCGTGCCTTTGGTGGCGTACTGCCGTTCGAGGCCCATTGTCTTCTAACGATTGAGATGGGGTAATCAGAAAATGGTAGTTCGACAGTTCTCTGATGCAATTCATGGTAGTCAATTGACGGGCTAGCTATTTAAAGATTTCAGGAAAAGGATAAAGTAAAGATTGAAATTTTCTGTCATTCATCCTTTCACACTACCCTAAACTACCGTTTTCTCCGTTGTCGAATTCCTATACTCTTCCAATCATACATTTCTTGTTATAAAAACCTTTAAGAAGCTTTGAGGAATATCAATCCGTACCAAACTCATCAGAAGAATGGACGAATGACTGCGACGATACACAGTATCTTTAAATGCCACTTTATTAGAGAATGGGAATCAAGATACCAAATGCCGAGAATCATGGCTTAGTCGAAACTCTAGTATCATCCAGCTAAACGGTCTTATTTTCCTATTCTATTTCGCAACTATTCTTAGGATGGTTAAAGATTTCCAGCCCCAGCTTCTCAAAATCCCAATGTAATTCATTGTGAGAAATTTTACATTCTCAGCACTAGCCGTGGGCTTTTCCCACTGACTGATATCAATATAGCTCTTGCCTTGAACGCAATAACATGGCAAGAACAAACATACGCCGAGACCAATGTACACCATGGCCCATCTTTAGGACGCCCTCGACCTGAGATTAATGCAGACTGGCACGAGCTCCTGACTGGTGTGCAGCAATAGACTTTCATAACTTTGATCGCTTGATACTATAAGCGTGTAGACAAGCTAATTTATCTAAAGCTTACAACGTCGAATTAGAACCCGAGATAATGCAACACTCTACCAGTCAAGATGAGGATGTGAAAGTTCCAGATAGCGACAGATATACAGGAACTCTTAACGTTTTTCATGAACTCCACGTTATTGTAAGTTCAAGTCATACCACATTCAACGCTTTTCAACAGATCAACGAAGATTCAAGAATGTCTTTATACCTACAGCTACCCTGAGGTATGCTGGACAGGTCTGAGCAAAAATGAACGGGAAGTAAATCGTATACACAATGATACTATCAACCTCAAATCCTTTTCGGTGATTCATCAACCAGAAACTATGGCAACATTGTCTTGATTTTCTCCGTCAGGCAGCTATGTATCATATGAATGGTCCGAAGGTAGCTTGATGCCAGTGACCAATCAATATATTGATCGGAAGAGATTGGATAACTGAAGTAAAGATAGATGTGTTGATATGATGGAGCCGGAGTGGCTGATGCACCCAACGAAGGGTAGCCTCGAGTTTTCACGAAATGAATTAGGAGTTCATTTTGACATGATTACAATTCCCGCTTATCCTGATAGAGATGGCGACAAAATTTGGTAGTCATATCAGTTCTGAACATCAAGATTGTGAAGTAAGTTTGTGAATAATGAGACCTGCAAAGACTTTCGCAAACTATATATAGACACACAGCCAATCATCAAGAGAGAAGTACGGGTTGAAATCGCCTAACCAGTTCACGTCTTAACTTCGATGTTAGCATTGCTAGACTCCATCAATGCTAACAAACCTCACGTGAACCTTCTCAGTAATCTCCACATTCTGTGGCTCCAAAGCCAACCCATCTACCATAGTCCTCTGATCCGCCCCTACGCCCCTTCTCGGCATCATCGCCGCGTATCCCTTTCTTTTCACTGCCTTAAGATTGGTCCCATTATCTCTAACTTCTGTCGCTGCGATTTTCCTGCCAAGAACCCTCGCATAATCATCCGCTTTACTAATCGCATCTTTGATTGCCTGTTCCCTCCCCATTATCCCAGTGGCCTTTTTTGTCTCCTCGGTCAAAGACCAACTAGCCGAGCGAATCTCTGCGTTGGGCATGATCAATATAGAACTCGCCACTTCAGCGAGCTTCTCAAAGTCTTGAAACGTGACTTCGAAATGTGAAGATGCTTCGTGAACACGAGCCCAAGGTTCGCCGTTAGAATCATAGTCTGGAGGCTGCCAAGAGCGCGTGCGAAGATTAGTCATGGAGTAAATAGTTACTGGAGGCTCTTGACTTGCAGCGTTGGAAGAATTCGAAGATTGTGATGGTTTTGTGGATAATTGCTTGAAGAGAGCTTGAAGATTATTGGATGCTTGGGTGACTGCCTCTGAAACCGATGTTTGTGAGGTGCCTTCCGATGTTACGGCAATGACTAAATTGCCACGTTCAGCTGGGAGTTGCACTTGTGAGGTGCCTTGAATGTGAATTTCGAGTGGTGATGCTGACATTTTGAGGAGCTAGATAATCTAATAGTGGTTGCTGTTAGATACTGGCAATGGCATAATAAGGGACTCCATCTCGCGGCTTTTATATTGGTCGGGGGAGTATCACGTGAAAGTATGACTCCTCGTATGTGGCAAAATGAATCACTGATCCCACAACTTTATGCTGAAGGATGCGGGGAAAGTCTAGTGATATTGACATGACTGTGATAGAGTGAGTCCTGACATGCAACACATGTCGATCTTCACCCTTTCCACTGCAAACTGATGGTCTCGCACTTGTGAGAATCCTATCATTTGTATGTCAATAATTCGATCTGGTAAAAATTAAAGCACATTTTGAACGAATGCCGGACCAGAAGGGAAAGTATCGGGGAGTATTCGCACTCCAAAGCGGTCGTTGTGACTGAGATGAGAACGAAACATCAAAGATTGAACATTGAAAATTTCAGACCCTTTCCGGTGTTATGCATCGTAGTTTTGCTTCGGGTATATACTTATACATGACAGATACTGATACATCCTGATCCTACATGGCCTTCGCGTCTATAAGATTGGCTTTCTCTCCTTGTACTGCTCTTCCGCCATGAAATTTTCCTCCACAATCTCAGATTCAGTAGCTTTTTGCGCCTCTTCATCTATAACGACCTCCTCATTCCTTGCCATAGCTGCATCATATTTCCTGACTTGCTCCATAACCTCTTCCTTCGTGATTCCAAACCCATTCTCATCCAAATGAACCTCTTCCTTCGGCGGCAATCCCATCTTCTCCCTTTGTGCCCTAAATCTCTCCTTGATAGTATCCGTCTGCATAATCCTCCATCTTAATTTCCAACCTCCCATTCCCAATTCCTTTATTCTCTGCGTCTTCTCCCCCAATAAATATTCATCCAATCCTCCCGCTTTATCGATCGTCCTCAGCACCTTTGTAGTTACTCTCAATTTTATTTGTCTCCCTAGACTTGGACTGTAGAGACGCTTCCTCTGCACATTGGGTCGCCAATGCCGTCTGGTCTTAATTTCATTCTTCTCCGAAACTATATTTCCATAACGAATCTTCTGGAGACCGTAAAGACCGAAATTGGATTGTTTGTAGAATTGCGAGGGGCCGTAAGGGTATGGCGGAACGTCTGCGTGCTCGACTGCTAGCCTTTGTTTTGTGGACTTTGCGAAGATGCGAGTAGTGGAGGTGAAGGTTCGTGTGAAAGAGCGGAAAAAGGAGGGGTGGATTGACGGGAGAATGGGCATGGTGGAGGAGGTGACGCGGGGCGCCGAATCTAATCGTGTATAGCGTCGATTCTCAGCTCGTATTGAGGTTGAATAGTCCCTGTGGCTAGGAGTTCATTAATGATTGACTTCGCGATAGAGTTGCAAAATTGCTTCTTCTGGCCGAGTATCAAATCCATCGTTTCGTTTGTCCCTTATCACCATAAATTTTAGTTCCGGATAAGATGTGAGCCTGAGGCCAAATGTTCAAAAATGTAGGTTTTTATTTCTACACGACCTTCATAGAGTTCAAGGCTACAAGAAACCCGACTCAATTCATTCACATGTTGTTTTATTCATTTCCTTCAAAGATTAGATGGTAGTACCTTCTTTGTGTATTTTTGCTTGAACGTATTCAACTCAAACACACGGTATCTTTTGTTTATATTGTATTTGTGTCTCAAGTGGTGATTATCAGATCCATTACTCAATCTCCGTTGATCACACCTTCAAAAATGACAGCCAGATTTTGCCTTGCTACCTTGGTAGCAATGCATTTAAATTCGCCCCAGTTATGAGGCTTCTCGCTGACCATGCTATTCATTCCCTGCCAAATTCGCGCGTTGTCCTATCCGATAGCCAAAAGGAACTCCCCAAGATCAAAATTACAATCTTATTTTTTCTGTCTAGGCAAGTAGACTTTTATTCTGCATGCCGACCAATCTGAAGACTTGCGCCATTATTCGTCTGCCGGGAGTCTTCGCACATCGATCGTTTCTCAATAAATCTCGAGCGTTGACAGTACCCTCGGAATGTTCCACTTGGGGTTCTCGCTGCGCTTGTATTCTTCCAAAATCTCCCGTGCCAGCTGAACCAGAAATTCCTCTCGTCTTCCATCCTTTCTCTGCATATAAATTGGTGAACCTTGTTCATAATCAATCCCTTGACTCGCTCTATATAATCTTTCAAAACAGGGGTTTCTGAAATCATATCCGAAGTCATAGATGAAGTTTTCAAGGGATGGTAACACTCTTGCTATAGTATTTCCGAACGAGTTGGGAAGCGTTTGCAGCCCCTCGTGACTAAGACTGTCTTCGTAGAATACGGCCATGGCGATATTGCGGACATCTTTCATAACTCTGCCCTCTGGTTTATCTCTGATCTGGGTCAAAGCATTTTTGATCCATTTCACCCAGCCTACTTCTACCAAAACTATGTCTATTCTCGGGTCGAAGACCACGATTCCCAGCCTCGGATAGCGGGCCAAATTGCTCTTGTGATATCCGAGATATGTTCTCCGTGAATCACAATTCACGAAGTATAGAGTATGCGGGCTGAATGTTCTGGGACGCCCATATCGTAAATGCTCCACTGGGACAATGTGCCCTTCTTGAGCCTCTAGTGCAAAATTCCATATATGAAGCTGTAACTCGATTGGGAGAAGAGCGAACTGTGGAAAGCTCGACATGATGCAATTGATTGTAGGTTAATTTTGATCGGAGGAAATTGAAGCATGAGAGAACTACCTGATATTTCACACTTTGACAGTTCCTTCCGCAGTAATTACTTATGGCAGTATGTAAACAAATAATGGTCACTCAATCAAAGATTCAACCGAGGGGTAAGAGGCGAAGGCTGAAGCTGACTGCTGCCGATTGCAGCTAATCCCTGTTAGTTTACTACCCCATCAAATCAGACCGACCAGCTTCACATGTATTTTCTTCTTTTGACGTACTTCCTCAAAGATTACAGCACATTCGTTATCAACTCATCTCCACCAAACATTCGCGGGAACAAGGCAACAGAGCATGCAGTTATTTTCCAATCTCCCGATTGAATTGCGCATCAAAATTTGGGAGCACGCTCTTCCTGGCGGGAGAAATATTGAGATCTATCCAACTTTCGTGAGTCGTAAAGAGATCGGATGGAGTGCTGTACATTGTAAATGCTCAGCTCGCTGTCATCGTCTGCCCTCTATAGCCCACGTCAATTCAGAAGCTCGAGCTGTATTTTTCCGCCACTTTGCTACTTGTTTCAACACGTACGTTCAATGGCAGAACGACACTATCCTCATTCAAAGTACATCGGTCATTAAACGCAACCTACCCCTCGATGCAGGCTCAAAGGAAATACAAGCATTAGACAGAATAGTTTCAGAAAGTCCGAGAAGCTCTGAATTGTCGTCCTTTGCCGTCACAGCAAACCGGTCATGGGCTCGTAATGGGTTACCCCACTTTTTGAAAGCATTCCAAATTTCGGAGCCGCAAAGGTCCCTCAACTTTGGAACTGCAATCCCCGAATTGCTACTCGTTGTGGGCTCCCAATTGCGCTACAAGGGGCGAAGAACTAGCTTCGATGGATTGAGATTGGATTTTTTTGATGATGACCCTATGGACCCCAATCAGCAACTGGAAAGACTCATAACAGAGAACGCCATGAGATCATGGCGGGATATATGGGAGAAGGAGGGGGATGGGACGCCACCACCGTTTCGAATGGTAACTTTCCGAAAAGGTGCCCCAAATTGCTTCAAGGACCTGTGATGATCGTCGGTTAAGGCAGGCACAGGTATCATGGCCTCTTATGTTTGACATTGCAGTTTCTCTTGCAAAAGCTGTATGTTAAGAATTTGAAATATCGATGGGGGCCAATAACTCAGTAGAACAAGTACTGTCTGTATCTTCAGCAATGAACGCTGGTATGCACGGGGTAATGATCGCTTATCCCCTCTCACCCTGTATCGTTTGAATGAAAACATAGGTCAATTGATCCCAGATTGTTACTATTGAGATCGAGATAAGCAACATGCTCACCGCGATCCTTAGTTTTTCTTTGCTCAAGCTACCTCGGTGGGTGTTCATTATGTTTACTGGGGTTGGTGAATAGATAAAAACTGCATTACTTGCTACTAAAGAGCAATTCCCACGTTTCCCTTCACATCTATTATCTAAGTGAAATGAATATCACATGAGAATAAAGCACCTGCGTTGAACCAAGTAACCACAAGCGCACAGGGAATTCTTGGGTCTAGCCCTGTGGATAGAGGATTCAGTATCACGGTTCCAATTGAAAGCTTGCTGTTGTGTGAAGCATCGTCACTCGATCAGAGAGAGGTGGTTTTCCTGCTAGGGTCCAGCACCTTATTTGCACACACTCTGATTGAGAAGAGTTCGAAGAAGCGAAGTGCACCTCACATTAGACCATTTGGAATTCCATCACCATCCATGCGCTGTGCCGTTTCGAGATAGGGCGGATTCGTTTGGATTGTTCAGTTGGAGCTGTGGAATTTCAGAGAGGAACAGAACATTCTACAAGGAATTCTAAATTTATTGCCGTACATGAGAGCTTATTAGTAAGTACCCAATCGTAAGAAGCAACCCTGCAGCATGTCTTCGGGCAGATACTGTGGCCCTTAAGCAGTGTTACTGTATAAATCGACATTCAGTGCGCCGTGGTTTGCAACAAACTACTGACAAACTCGTCAATTGTTTCAAGCTCAGTGACCCCAAAAAGTCTAACTCAATATGAGGTGTGGCATTTCAGCTGTGGTGAATCGTAACGTTTGCCTGAAAAAGGATGGCCGAATGGTGTTGGGTTTCCGGCAAAGTCTCGGTAAAACTACCCATCGTCATCTGTACTAGAGAGTTGAGAGGGTACAACACGAAAACAAAACTACATGCGCCAATGGATGAAAGAGCTCACAACCTGAATGGATATATGGAAATAATATGCACTGAAAATCGATGAATGGTGCCCCAGCTACAATTTTCATTTTATCTAAAGCTGGCTGTTAGACGCCATGCTTTCCGCCTTTACAGCTCGACCCATTGTTGAGCTTCGCCAACGAGACAAATCGAAGATCGAGTCCGTACTTGCATTTGGTAGGTCCGCAGCTCGAGCAGAGAGACTTCAACTGATACTTCATAGGCGATAGGTTACTAGTAGGTCTGAATACTGGCAGTTTACGCATATATCAAGTCAACGAAACTCCGGGCAATGTCGGTTTACTTCGAGAAGTCGAGAAGTTCTCTACTCGAGCAATAGAGCAACTCGCACGAATAAAAGAAGCCAACGTTTTGATATCTCTATCCAATTATTATGTGTCGATTCACGATTTACAGACATACGCTTTGCAGGAACAGTTGACGAGGACCAAAAATGCTTCCACTTTCGCCGTTACATCGAATATTGTCAAAGATCCAGCTACGGGGATACCAGAAATTATATCAAGACTTGCGGTAGCTGTCAAACGAAGGTTGTTAGTATGGTCATGGTATCAATCCGAGATATCATCCGAGACGACGGAGATAACGCTCGCAGAATCCATTCGAACCTTGACTTGGGCATCCGCTACCAAGATCATCTGCGGCATGAACTCTGGATATGTCATTGTAGATGTCAACACGCAAGAAGTCGAAGACATTGTTGGACCAGGGGCTATTGGAGGTGCGACCAGCAACCAAGGCGGTAGATTTGGTGGCATGGGCTCTGCAAGCATGGGTTACATGGGCCTCGGAGGCTATATACCTAAGCCATTGGCAACGAAACTGGCAGACGGAGAGATCCTGCTTGCAAAGGATATCAACTCCCTTTTTATTACGTCGGAAGGGAAACCAATGGAAAAAAGACAAATCCCTTGGCAGCCAGCGCCAGACGCTCTTGGGTATTCATATCCGTATATTATTACTCTTCAAGCGCCGTCTAAAGGAATACTTGAGGTTAGGAATCCAGACACCCTATCACTTTTGCAATCAATACCGCTCCCGAATGCAAATCAGCTTCATTTTCCACCTCCGAATATTAGCCTGGCACACGCTGGAAAGGGATTCCATGTGGCTAGCGAGCGATGTATATGGCGAATGGGTGCTACGGATTATGATTCTCAGATTGATGAGCTTGTAGCAAAAGGACGCTATGATGAATCATTGAGTATTCTTAATATGCTTGAAGATGCACTGCTGCATAACAAAACCGAACGGGTACAGCAGGTTGAAGCTCTCAAGTCGAAACTTTACTTTGATCAACAAATTGAGCAAGCTCAGGCTCTATTTAATCAACGCAGATATCGTGCAGCGATCGATATATTTATTGCTATTGAGGCACCTCCAGAACGTGTGATCAAGTTATACCCGAAGGCTATAGCCGGCGATCTCTCAATCGTCGAGGAGAATAACGGGGATATGGAAACAGACAACGACGAATCGAATGGTAGCGCAAACAGCGATTCTGATTCTAAAGAATCATTGAAACCAGCTGCAGTAAAGAAGTTGATCAAAAATCATCAGAAATCCAGCTCAGATACATCATCCGTCAGATCCTTCATGAGGCATGATAATTCAGACAATGACAATGCAAGTATCAAAGCAGTCCCTGTTGAAGATGGCCCGCTTGAGGGGAAAGACCTTATTACAGCGGCCAAGGAGCTAAATGCATTTCTTGTGGATGCGCGAACTAGATTGAAGAAGTTCCTAGATTCTGAGACTGGCAAGATAATCCCTCCTAGAGAAAATGGTCACGGAGGAACACCTGAACCGACGTTTGACTCCCTCTTGGCTGCTCCCGAATCTGAAACTGAAGCTGATCATGATCGGGAGCAAAAGTTGTTGGAAACAGCAAAATTGGTCGATACCACTCTTTTCCGCTCCTATATGCTATCGATGCCCAGTTTGGCGGGACCACTGTTTCGATTGCCGAATTTCTGTGACCCAGATGTGGTTAATGAGAAGCTCTTAGAGACTGGAAGATACAATGATCTTGTTGATTTCTTCCATGGCAAAAAACTGCATCGTCCTGCTCTTGAGCTTCTCAAGAAATTTGGCATGGGAGATGAAGAGAATGAAGAAGCACCAACACTATATGGACCTCAAAGAACTATCGGATATCTACAACACTTACCTCCCGAAATGATTGATTTGATTCTTGAATTTGCTGAATGGCCTCTACGAGCCGATCCCGATCTTGGTATGGAGATATTCCTAGCAGATACAGAGAATGCGGAAACGTTGCCGAGGGAGAGAGTCCTCAATTTCTTGCAGGAAATTGACATCAATCTCGAGATCAGGTATTTGGAGCATGTGATCAATGAACTCAATGATATGACGCCCGATTTTCATAATCGACTCGTTGGTGCATATATGCAAGAATTAAATCAACGTCAGGACAGAGATTCTGAGGAGTGGAAGGATTTGATGGGACGAATGGTATCGTTCTTGCGGTCGAGTAACATATATTCTTGTGGGAGAGCGTTTGGGTTGATAGACAGAGAAGGTTGGTGTCAATTGTCAAAGGTGCAGCGTAAAGTTATTAACATTCACCATAGATTCTCATTTCTACGAAGCTCAGGCTGTGGTCTTAAGTAACATGGGTTCACATAAACAGGCTCTCGAGATATATGTATTCAAGATCAAGGACTTTGAGAAGGCAGAGGAGTGAGTTCTGACACATCCTCGTTGAGATTGCTTATGCTAACATGCTCAGATATTGTAATCGGGTCCATATGAACCAAGAAGCTTCAACCTCATCGCCAATTCCTACCCATCGGGCTACCACATCCGAGTCGGATGACCCACTGCCTTCTATATACCACACCCTTCTTTCTTTATATTTGAAGCCACTACCCCCGTATAAACCGAACTGGCCACCTGCTTTGGAACTTCTATCCAGGCACGGATCCCGTCTGCCCGCATCCTCAACTCTTGATTTGATTCCGGAGAAGCTTCCCGTGGCAGAACTCGAATCATACTTCCGTGGTCGTATACGAGCGGCGAATTCGATTGTTAGTGAATCCCGAATTGTGGCAGGGTTGAGAAAGAGTGAAGTTGTGCGTGCACAAGCAACATTATTACTAGGGGATGGTTTACCAAATGGTCAGGGAGGAAGGAATAGAAGAGTCGTAGTAAGTGATGAGAGAGTATGCGGTGTTTGCCATAAGAGATTGGGAGGAAGTGTTATTGCGGTCTTGCCGGATAGTTCTGTTGTACATTATGGGTGTTTGAGTCGAGCGAATGTGCAACGCCCATCTTCGTCGCGGGGTTCGTGGGGAGGACGATGATATTTAGATTGTGTGAATGGTAACAGCTACATAGCGACGGAGTTTTTGGGGCAATCGGTAATGCAGCATCAAATATCGAATATTATAATCATGAAGAAACACTTCAATCTTCCTCTTCCACAACCTCTTCCCCATAATTGTCTTCTTCCTTGGCTTCATCAATTACCCCACCATGAACCTTTGATCCATCTGCACTTTCAGCTTCTCGTAGTTTATCTTCCTCCATTCGTGCAGTCAATTCCTTATTGATCCTTTCTTGCATTTCCCCTGTAGCTTTCCGTAATGACCCTAAATATGCGGTTCTCTCACTGACTTTGTCTGATGCAGGCGGCGTAGGTAATTCATGGACGTGCTCAAACTTTTCGTTGTTTGGGGAAGAATATGTTGCCAACAGGACTTGGTACGGAGTGTCAGATTCGGCCGCAGAGGCAGAAGTGGTGGTAGTTGTATCTGACATCGCCATTGTTTTTTGTTCCTTTGATTTTTGGGTAGGTATTCGCAGAATCATAAAGTGTTGTGGAGATCTTCTGTGATTCTTTCAATCGCTGTTTTGTTTCTTCAAGTTTTCGGATTTTATCTGGCGCCGGAGACCAGGTTTAGAATCCCCCGCGAAACTCCAAACAAAGTCCAAACTACGATTTTACGGGCTAGAATCAACAAATACGAAAGAGTAAGGAAAGCTTAAGCCTAAGTATTTGTAACATCACTACCCAGCCCGGTATCAGACATGGATTAAACTTGATAAGGTGATATTGATCAAATAATCCTACCGTCGCATTGGTATTCAACCCCATTCTTTAGATCCTTCTTCGATACTCATAACCTCCACAACCAACAACATCATTTTTAGATTCCATCGTCGAATCTACTTCTCTCTTTCATTCCTTCTCCTTTCTTCGTTTTTCGTTCTTCTTTCTTGACTTTCTTGCGGAAATGTTCAAGACACAGCGTTCGTTCGCTACAATTAACGCCCCGCTGTTGTACCCTGAAAGATACGGAAGACTAACGCAAAACATATAAAAGTCCCACTTCCAGCAAGACAACCATGTCACAGTCAACAGGGCCTTCTCTGCCAAGGGCACCAGGGAGCTTCTCTCCAATTGTGCAACAGTCCTCGTCGTCTCAAGGACCCCCACTGCGAAGAATTGAGTCCTCATCATCTGAAGATTTACCTCCACCTCCCTCCCTTGGCAGCAGAGTTCGTCCACAATCGCAGAATGCGCCTGCCCCTCCACGTCCTTTTTACGCCCAATCGACCAAGAGCAACTCAAGCACCACCAGCTTACAGAACTTCTCACGGCCAACACTCGCGCAAGTACGAACTGATATCGGTGGTACACCATTGAGGAATGCGTCGCCTCTTACTGCAATAGCTTCGAAATCATCCATCAGTGATTTTAAAGTTCACGGCCGCAAACATTCACAAACTCAAGGTTCTTTCGAAGCTTATTTACCAACTGCCGCATCATCCAATCTGGGAAGCATGTCGAATCTAAACACTGGACTTTCTGCGAGTCACGTAGCTGCTCAGGCTGCTATGCAACACCAAGGGCAGCATGCGCGCCAAAGGTCCCAGACTGTACCAACTCCTCAATTGGATACTTCATCGAATAGCTCTGGAAGCAGAAGACCTTCCAAGGGACCCATTTCACCACCGCTGTTAAGTTTGACGGAAGCTTCAGCTCCCAGGGATACTAGTTTTGGTGGGCAAGGATATCATAATGGATTACTTGGGGCAGGATCGAGTGTCGCTCAAACAGCTGCCAATGTTGTGTTTCCAAAGTCTTCTGGATCATCGCCAGCATTGACACCCACAGAATTTGAGCAACGAAATCTTGCTCATGTTCAAGCACAAGCACAAGCAAAGGCTCAAGCTCAAGCCCAGTTATTACAAGCGCAAGCGCAGTCACAAGCACAAGCTCAAGCCGAAAAACCTGCCAAAACGGAGAAGTCCAAAGTCAAATTGTTTTCGAGACCTGGAAAGATCGGCATAAGTAAGGATAAAGAAGCGAAATCCGGAGGTCTTCCAAGCCCCAGTATGGTTATTCCTATGTATCCAAGACATTAGTAAAACACTCAGCTAATAGTTGTACAGATGCTTCAGGCGCTCCGAGTATGTACAGCATGGCGAATTCTTCTTCGGCGACGATACGACCAGTCGATACATCACAACCAGAGAAAGAAAAAGACAAGGAGAAACATAAACATCATTTCCTGTCGCGGCAGAAACATAAGCTGAGCAGCAAAGACGATCATCATTTGCCATTGTCATCGGCGGCCTCGAATTCCAAACCCGTAGATCCAAGTGCGCCCAGTAGCTTGTATAACTTCAACCTTCCACCGAGTCCAGGCCCCACTTCTACAAGTTTTGCGAAAAGCATGAGTGGCCTAGATCTAAGACATGGAGGAAGGGCATTAAGAGAAAAGAAAAAAGAAGAGAAAAGCGAGACCTTGAGGGAAGGAGAATTATCATATCAAAATAGTAACGAATGGCCTGGGCCATCTAGTCTTGGTTCAGTAGGTGCATCATCATACTTAGGTCCTGCGGGAGCAGGCTATCCTTCTAGCCTTTATGGAGTTGACACAGCGGATTTGGGGAAGTATGGACTGAATAACATGGGAGCAGACGATGCATGGCCATTTTTGAAAGCAAAACTACTAGTCATATTCGAGGGCGAAGACTTAAGGTTGTGTGTGGAAGATCTCAATCGTCTAGTCACGTAAGTATTTATCAGCCCCTTGAAATTGTCCAATTTTCTAACAACAATCTAGTACCCATATTCAACGCTGTATACAAAAAAGATGCCCAAATCATGTTATAGAGGACTTGCAAGAGTTACTCGAAACAGGCTTCAGATCTCTTGACCAAACTTTGCGCCGAACCCCTGATGAACGCCTCATACCACACCTTGTAGAAATGTGGCTCTTTACTTTCACAACCGTCCTTCCTTACATGCAAGCCGTTTTTCTCCCGCTCGATCTCGAATTTTCTGGCCACGGACCCCTCATGTCACCAGAAGTAGCGCGCGAGACCTGGGGCGTCATCTCTTCATCTCAGTCCAACTCCTCTTCCAATATTCCTGCAGGTCGCGCTCTCGAAGTGCGCAAAATAGTACTTATAGCATACCGCGACACAGTAATCATTCCTCGTTACGAAACACTGAAAGGATTATTCTCTCGCCTCTCCCTCGATTCTATCAGTCTCAGCCTTCCAAACTCGGATATAAGATCCCCAAGTCCAGATAGTCAAGGAAGACCAGGAACAGCCATTAGTTTAGATCCGAGTCATGGATCTTATTCATCTCAAAATACCACGCTTTTAGGAGGCGGAAGTTCAGCGGGTGATAATTCTGGTTCACGTTCTCGAGCAATCTCGAATGTCAGTTATGGATCCGAACATTCTGCAGGTGGAGGTCTTGGTATTTCCGGAATGCCGCCTCCTCCAAGACCATTCACACCAAGTAGTACCCATCCAGCATTGACCTATGGATTGAGTGCGCGAGAAAGAAGACAGGCAAATGTAGAAGATTCGTCTAAGAAACTTACAGAAGCTGTGGGTAGAATGTTACAATGTGTGAGTGTGCTTAGTAGTGTGGGTATACGAGCGGGCAATGATTTAAGTCAGGAGAAGATGGAAGACTTGGGACGGGGTCTTAAGTTGAATTGGCTAGGGAGAGGAAGGACGGGGAGAAATAGGAGGGGGTTGGTGGGTGGGAGAGTGGGGCAACCGGGGGCGAATTTGTGATAAGTTATGAGTGTGCACAAGGAGGGTTTCAAGGCTACCTGGTGTTTGGTTCTCTCCTTTTTGGGTTGGTCATGATTGATGGATTGATGGGTAGGTCGGTATCTAGGTAAATACAGGATTTTTGAATTAGGTGTCTGGTGGGATCATGTCTTCTGGCATTGGAATCGGTCCCGGTATTGGTGGTTATGGGGGGTCACTATTTTAATTGCAATTTTCCATTGCTCTTATGGAAGATGGGTGCGAGACTGCACTCTCTAAATGGTTCGGCTGGCCTGCTTTGTTCATAGTTTGAATGGTGCGATTGAGTCTGGACTGTAAAATATGTTATTGGGAGGATACGATGGAACATGTGTATATATATGTATGAACATGATGAATTGAAAAATGAGAAAAATTGTATAGAAACTGATATTTTGCAGGAATTTGATGGGCTTGAGCGGTGTTTCAATACTTGCCCTTACATTTGCTGTGAATAGGTTGATAGCTTTGGGGATATTGAAAGAGATAAAAACACGCACCACCGGTGTTGTGACGTTCTATCCCCGCTCAGTTCAAAGCGATCTTGTCATCTTGAGCATTGATCATGCAATTGTTAATCCTCAAGCTCCCCCATAACCCCTGAGCCAACCTCAACTCTACTCAACTCCCAAATCCAAACGTTCAAACCATCAAATAACCTCCTCCATCCTTCCTCCCGCTTTCTCTTAACTTGCCTCATCCCGTCTTGCCTTCCCCTCTCCCCTCTCCCTTTTCCCGCACTCCTATCAACTCGCCAACTAAGCAAGCCCCTTCCCTCTCTCGACCCGGTTGTTTCAGAAATCCATACCTCTCAATTCCACTCCTGGAAAGAGTCCAAAAGACATTCAAATAACAACATTTCCTCCTTCATCCCGTTAATTTCTCCCCAACACAGTACCAACCAGCACAAATAATCAAGGGGCGAGCGATATCCGAGCCCGTACCAGGAGGTCCAGGAGAAGCGAGTAAGTGAGTGATAGCGGAAGTACAGCACGGAAGAGCTCGAGCATGCGATCTTTTTCTTCAAGTTTGAGATGCCCTTCTACTCATTTTCATCCAGGGCGCTGAGTGTTGTAGCGGCTTCGCGTTTTTACTCATTCGCATTGATCACATTTTAAATCTACTATGTTAATTTACTGAAATCCGGAAACGACCCGATTTCTCGTCGCCTAGTAGTAAACTTTCTCGTCATGATGTGGAGAATGTGAAGAATCCGTATGAATATACATGAGCAGAGCCTCTCTTATTTGAGAACATCTTGTGGGGCAATCTCAGATTACATGAGGAAGAAGAATATTTCTTGGACATATACCTGCTGAAGCCATCAGTGACTACTGGTAAACTATTCTCATTTGTAGCATGGTTGTCGGTTGAGGAGGGCGGTGGTCTATACTTGTTTAGTCGGATTATTGTGTATGATATTTTAGTGAATATGAGAACTGGAGAGATACTCAGGCTAGTGGCTTTCATGAACAATTTCAATGAGTACCCTCCTTTCAGATATTATTTCATCCAATAGATATCAAACGTAAATCATTTCGTGTTAACTTTGAAGGTATTTTGATTACTTGTTCATTCATCTTTCTAGTGTTTTATCATCACACTATACTATACTCCTTCCGAGTCTGTCATTGCACACTGGTCTCTTGTCTGACTTCTACACCATTTTATCACATTTGAGCTTCATTTCCATTCAATCA